TTCTCTTCGTACAGGAGTATAGCCATCAGAGCGTCATATTTAGTGACGATTGAGCGGAGGGACAGCTTTGCCGACGCTTTCGTTAAGCACACAATGGCTTCCATTGAGAGGCGTTTCACAAGAGGTCCGCGAACGCGACGGTTGGCCACGAAGTAGTTCTGTAAGAGTTCTTCAGCCGCTCCACTCATTTGAGGCTTAATGCCATTCATGAGCGTAAGGATCTGTTGCCAGTCATTGAGACTAACCACCGGATTGTTGATCAATGGCTGATAGCAGTAGCCATCTCTGGGCTCATCGATAACGTAAACCATTCCGAAGACTTCAGTCCACAAGACTTTTTGACTCTTGTAGACAGTTCTCGCGGATCTCTGGAGTTCTCTCTCCTCTGCGTTGTTCTCAATGACGGCCCAAACGGTTGTCCTGAGTTCCACGTCTTTGAAGCCCTCGATGGGTGAGTCACTGTTGCGAGCAATCACTTCGTTGGTGTCGAGCGCGTGAAACAGTGATGTCCTCTCCTTTTCGGGCAATTCGTTGAGACCGCAGGCGCTGGTGATCACTGTTATGCCGTCGGCGCCCAACTGAAGGGCTCCCGAATCAATCCAATCCAATGATGACTGTTTGCGAACACTTCCCGACATTGACATCGAAATGGATGTCTGAAGGAATGAATGGTCGGTGAAGAGTGTCGACCATTCAAACAGACGTCTTATGATTAGAGTGTCGTCACAGATGACGAGAACTGAGGAGTGGTTTCTCTGTTAATTAGACAATAGTTAGACATTCAGTGATATGTAAGAGAGATATACTGATTGGCATTACTTTGGAGTAATCGTTGAGTGAAAGGAGATTCAGAAGAAGTCCTAATTTAAGCCGAAAGAAAGAGCCGGAGAGGCATACGTTGTCTGCGAACAGATACGACAGACTTAACCCAAAACTATAGTTGGATTGCAAGCGATCTGAACAACAGTTAAAGCAAAAAGTGTTCACATTTGGTGTCATAAGTGACTGCGAAATGCTTGCAAACCGTTATACAAATTCTGAATCTCTTGTGGAAATTGAGACAGAAATGCATCAAATTGTCGGTCGAGTGGAAAGGCGTGTCTAATGGACGGACACATCTTGTCGAACGATAACAGCATATAATCGGTTGAATGGTATCTCATGAGGACAACCTTCTGGAGATGGGATCCGTTATAAATGGCCGCCATCTCAGTGTCGGTGAACGCCATGTAATTGATGGTGATTTGGATGGGATTGAGAGCGCATTTGGTCCAGTCTTTGCCCACAACCACCAGAAGTTGGCGTTTATTGGCGTAAATGCGGTCATCACTCGTGCCAAGAGATCCAAGAGATCTGCTGCTGAAGTGTGCGTTCGTGTCACTCAATGGCCGCACTTTCCACTCCTCTTCGCCATCCTTTGTCCTCAGTTTTGCGATCAATGCCCTCATCGGATGACTCATTGAAACGATTTGCAGACAATCGATGGACAAGAGTTGGCTTTTGCTTTTGTTCACCTCTTTGTATGTCTTGTAGTGGTATCTGATCCGAGAGTAAGTTCGTAAACAAGACAATGGATCCAATGGATCAATGCATGGCTTACTTTTGCGATAAGTTCTTGTATTTGAGACAAAACCAAATCTTGTGTCCACTGAGCGCTCGCTTACCGACTCGTCTTCGAAGTCGTTTGTGGAACAGTTCCGCGA